ATTTCTAACAATGGTTTTGCAAACTTTATTCCACTCATTTTACTATAAAAATAAATCTAGATCAATTTTATCATCAAACACAACATTGCATATTTATCATCAGATTTAGGCGACATTTTGCTAAAAAAAAATAGATTTATATAAAAGTATGAATTATTGGTCTCAATTTCGCCTTAGGTTTATTATCATAATATATAAAAAGGATTTTTTAGCTCAATAATAGGTTCTCTATTTATGCACACCTAGATAACAATGCCAATTATAAATGTTAAACGGTAAATAATAATCCAAATGCACTCTCAAACTCACAAAACACCAACAAATACATTTCAACTTTCCTCCAATCCCCCCTTACCCACTATCTCTCCCAGGGCACATGAGAACTTTTATGCAACTTTCCTCCGATCCCCCCTACTCACTATCTCTCCCAGGGCACATGAGAACTTTTATGCAGTCCTATTAATTGCAGTATTGCACTATGAAATCGTATAGGTTTAGGTGGCTTCATGATAGTCACACATTTAACTAATGATTTAATACTTTGTGATCTCACTTTAAAAATAAGTGAGTATGATGAAGACACTTAAGTCATATGACTCTATACTGGAGTCAGATATAGCTACATTACATAGCTCTTATCCTTCCTCTCTCACGTTCATTCTCGCCTCACAAACACATTGGGACATGACATTTTCCCACCCATATGGCCACATCGCCCATATCCCTTACTCCCACAGAAATAGAATTAAAGAGATGCTACTATTCTTCTCATATTTGATCCCTTGAAATGATGCTTCCTTCCCTTTCTTCTTACGCCATTTATTCAAACTAATTGTTTTTAATTAGATTGATTTCAATTCTAAAGTGAATAAATTTTAACAAAATGGACTTAGATAATAGCAAAATACACACCAAGCATCTACTATCTGATGCAGACTTAAACAGACAATCAGAAAAATTCCAGTCCAATAAAAACCCCTTTATCATCTCCACACATCTTTTGTTCGGGCATCTAATGTCCATTTATTGAATTTGTTTCAGCCATTGTGATGTATATATTCATAGAGTGTGCTATATTTATACTCAAAATCTGAGGGGATCACAAAACTATTACAACTCCATATCTTGTCAGTTACACTGCCCAAGTAACTTGTATGGGGGTTCATTTAACAATAACTTAATAGTCATTGTGATTCAACATCCAAAGAAGCATTGATTACCTGGCCAATAGACACTGTTATGCTTTGTTCTCACTTCCACAACTCCATGAGTGATTAATTTCATAGCTTTCCAATTAGACCCATATCAAGAGATTGCTAAGCATGCCATTTTTGACCTTGATGCATTCTACTCATAGTTATAGGCAACATGGCACAAATTTCACCTTCTTTTGTATATAGTAAGATATTCAATCGGTCACTTATAAGATAGTCGTTTATCCAGCCCCACGTGATGTGGTATGCATGTACGGCCATACAAATGGAGTATATAATTATACTCCAATTCCTATGGCTCATGAAAGGAAATGGACGAAGGCTCATCCTGTAGAACAAATAATTGGTGATCCGAGTCAAGGTGTGCGGACGAGATCGGCCACAGTGAATGAATGTCACTTTGCCTGTTTCCTAAGCCAGAATGAACCGTCCAAAGTTTCGGAGGCACTCACTGATCCAGATTGGGTGATTGCTATTCAAGATGAACTCAATCAATTTAACAGACTACAAGTGTGGACACTCGTGCCAAAACCCTCTCAGAAAACTATCATAGGCACTAAGTGGGTGTTCAAGAACAAGAAGGACGAAGAAGGCATCGTTGTGCGCAACAAAGCAAGGATGGTCGCAAAGTGGTACAACCAGCAAGAGGGCATAGACTATGATGAAACATTTGCGCCCGTAGCGAGAATTGAAGCAATCCGCCTCTTTCTTGCGTACGCGGCACACAAGAACTTCACCGTCTTTCAAATGGACGTGAAAACAACTTTTCTAAACGGAGTGTTAGAAGAAGAAGTCTATGTCGCTCAACCCGAAGGATTTGTAGATCCCAGATACCCAGATCACGTATACAAGCTCAAGAAAGCTCTCTATGGGTTAAAACAGGCACCAAGGGCTTGGTACGATGCCTTAATAGAGTTTCTGGTTGATTCAGGCTTCTCAAAAGGAAAGATTGATACAACGCTATTCATCAAGCGACAAAAATCTGATATCATATTGATTCAGATCTATGTCGATGACATCATCTTTGCCTCCTCAAATCCGCGTCTGTGCAAACACTTTGAGAAACTGATGAAAACCAAGTTTGAAATGAGCATGATGGGAGAACTGAATTTCTTCCTAGGTCTGCAAGTACGATAGCTCTCAGATGGCATTTTCATCAATCAGTCCAAGTACATCCTGGAAATGCTTAAGAGGTTCAACATTGACGGAAAATCTTCCATGACAACTCCTATGTCACCCAATAAAAAACTGGACTCAGATCCCACAGGGAAACCAGTCGATGCTACAAAGTACAGGGCCATCATCGGATCTTTGCTTTATCTCACGTATAGCAGGCCTGACATAGTATTCTCCACATGCTTATGTGCACGCTTTCAAGCAAATCCGAAAGAATCTCATCTGATCGCGGTAAGAAGAATCTTGAGATACCTGAAAGGCACTGTGAACTTAGGCCTTTGGTACCCCAAACACTCAGGTTTTGACCTTGTCGGATATTCGGATGCTGACTTTGCGGGTTGCAGAATGGACCGAAAAAGTACATCGGGAGCCGTCCAGTTCTTGGGTGAGAAATTAGTCTGCTGGTCTTCCAAGAAGCAGAATTGTGTGTTAACATCTACAGCCGAGGCAGAATACGTCGCGGTTGCTAGATGTTGCTCTCAAATATTATGGATGAAGACTCAGCTAAAAGACTATGGTTACACTTTCCGCCACATCCCGGTCTACAGCGATTCTCAGAGCGCCATCGCCATCGCCATCACCAGCAACCCAGTTCATCACTCCCGAACCAAACACATTGATCTGCGCTATCATTTCATCAAAGACCATGTGGAGAAAGGGGATATCGATATGTACTTTGTAAGCTCTGAGCTTCAACTGGCTGATTTGTTCACTAAGGCTCTAGATGAAAAACGATTCCAGTTCCTGGTATCCAAATTGGGCATGTTGAACCTCGAGTCCGTGTAATTTCATCTCCACTGGTCTGTAAAGTGCGTGGGTGCGTGTTGAACTTGTAAATAGTGTGCGTGAGTTGCATGTGTCAAGGGGGAGAAAAAAAAGCGTAAAATATCAAAAAGAGTGTGCGCGCGTTGCATCTGTACATAGTGTGAGTTGCATCTGTTCATAGTGTGCGTTGCATGTGTTGAGGGGGAGAAAACCCAGAAAAATACAAAAATAGTGTGTGTGAGTCGCATCTGTTCATAGTGTGCATTACATGTGTTGAGGGGGAGAAAACCCAGAAAAATACAAAAATAGTGTGTGTGAGTTGCATATGTACATTGCGTGAGTTGCATTTATGAAGGGGGAGAAAAAGGGCAAATTTCAAAAAAAAATCTGAGAAGGAGCTCTAATCTTTTCCACAGGTTGGGCCTTCAACATGGTTTTAAAATTTTCTTGGGGGAGGCCAATACTCAAGGCCCTGCCCTTTGCCTTTCGCGTATAAATAAGGGAACAACTCGCAATTCCCCTCATAACTCACATCTCTTTCTTTTCAACCCAGAGCTCCCGTCTTGTTTGCTCTTCTTCTCGCAACTTCATCTCCTCCTCTCTCGTCTCCAAGGTAGTCTCTCGCCGAGCTCCCATCTCCTTTCTCGCAACCATTCATCGTTCTCTATCACTTCTCTCGTCACTCATGTCTGTTAACAAAAACAAAGGGGGAAAGGGGATCTTCGTAAAAACGTAATCGCGACTCTACAAAATCCTCAAAAAATGCTCTGTTTGGTATATCTTTTCTGTGTTTTCTTTGCAGGTGGATGTCGTCTCTTCTGGGCGAACTCGATTCTCTGTATCTCGAGTTTTAAAGCTTGGATTCAGGATCTGTCGTTTCAAATTCGAGGGCAGATTGCGAGTTTGTAAACTCGCGGCCATGAACTCGAGTTTGTAAACTCGCGGTCATGAACTCGAGTTTGTTAACTCACGGTCATGAACTCGAGTTTGTAAACTCGTGGTCATGAACTCGAGTTTGTAAACTCACGGTCATGAACTCGAGTTTGTAAACTCGCGGTCATGAACTCGAGTTTGTAAACTCGCGGTCATGAACTCGAGTTTGTAAACTCGCGGTCATGAACTCGAGTTTGTAAACTCGCGGTCATGAACTCGAGTTTGTAAACTCGCGGTCATGAACTCGAGTTTGTAAACTCGCGGTCATGAACTCGAGTTTGTAAACTCGCGGTCATGAACTCGAGTTTGTAAACTCGCGGTCCTGAACTCGACTTTGTAAACTCGCGGTCCTGAACTCGACTTTGTAAACTCGCGGTCGTGAACTCGAGTTTGTAAACTCGCGGTCCTGAACTTGAGTTTGTAAACTCAGGGTCATGAACTCGAGTTTTGTAACTCGCGGTCCTGAACTCGAGTTCTGCCTACAAGTTTTAAACCTCGACCATGAGCTTTTCAAGTGCCCAGACCCTGTAATTCCAATAATCCTCAAAGGGCACTACATCTGGTCGCCCTAACCAAAGCTCAACCTGTACCGGAGGTGTACCTGCAACAACTATGGTACACCATGCACACGCCTTCCAAGAAGGACAAATCAAAGATATTTGCTACATTGCACAACCGAAGGCTGGTACTGACACTGATGGATTATAGGAATCCAAGTATATATAAAATGGAGAGATTTGAGATAATGTGATGAAGATGAATGAATAGTAAAAATGTGATATTGTGTATGAATTATGAGTTAGGAAAAGTTAGGTTTACAAATGGCTCCAAGAGGAGTATAAATAGGGAAATAATGGGCCGGGCCGCTAATATGGGCCTGGTAGACCAACTACATAAAAGACTAATCTAGTACATAGTTACATACAAATGACATATAAGCAGTACAATAATACAAATGATATCCGTAAGATGTGTGTGGGCCGCTGTCCGGGCCCAATAGTCATGAGACCCGGGGGTCCGAGTCTATATACTCTATCAGGAGTCCCCCACTCTCTGAGTCGAGAGTATTCGAGGCGAAAGAGAGTAGAACTGTGTGCTGATCTGTCACCGTCTGGTGAGTAAACTTCATGAACAAAAATTTGAATTTCTGCTTCTTTGGTTAACGGAGACGCTAAGTCCCCCGCTCTTCCAGTCCCCCACTCCTTGAGGCGAGTGTAATGAGGTGAAGAGGAGTAGAGTAATGCGTGTCGGATGATGTCTTCAACAGGGGGCCGAGGGTTGACACCTTTTGATCCACGATGGGGAGATGCCTCGTTAAAAACCTCATTAGGAAAAACCCTGTGGGAAAAAATCCTAATGAGGGAAAAAGAGTACACCGGATGCCCCCAAAATGAAACAAAAGGTGCGAGCCCTTCGGCCTGGAGATGGAGCTGCAGCGGTGCCCGTCTGCTGGATGGTCGAGGCCGATCTCTAGATGTGGGTAGCTCATCATGATCAGTAGTCCTAGTCATCAAATAAAGATGACTATGGGATGGGTCGAGCGACCGTCCACAATATGATGTCTGGTTCATCAAATAAAGATGACCAGAACGTAAGGCCGATGGGCCGAGAGGCCTGTACGAGAGCTCCACGTTGTCAAATAAAGACGACGAGGCGATGGTGCGGCCGAGGGGCTTGCATAAGAGCTCCACGTCGTCAAATAAAGACGACGGGGCGATGGTGCGGCCGAGGGGCCTGCATAAGAGCTCCACGTCGTCAAATAAAGACGACGGGGCGATGGTGCAGCCGAGGAGCCTGCATAAGAGCTCCACGTCGTCAAATAAAGACGACGGGGCAATGGTATGGCTCAGAGGCCTGCATAAGAGCTCCACGTCGTCAAATAAAGACGACGGGGCGATGGTGCGGCCGAGGGGACTGCATAAGAGCTCCACGTCGTCAAATAAAGACGACGGGACAATGGTATGGCTCAGAGGCCTGCATAAGAGCTCCACGTCGTCAAATAAAGACGACGGGGCGATGGTGCGGCCGAGGGGCCTATATGCGAGCGCCATGTCGTCAAATAAAGACGACAGGGCGATGGTGCGGCCGAGGGGCCTATATGCGAGAGCCATGTCATCAAATAAAGATGACGGAGCGAGATATGGCTGATGGGCCTGTAAATGAGCTTCGCGTCATCAAATAAAGATGACGAGGCGATATATGCCCGATGGGTCTGCAACTGAGCTTCGCGTCATCAAATAAAGATGACGGAGCAAGATGTGGCTCAGAGGCCTACAAATGAGTTCCTCGTCATCAAATAAAGATGACAGAACGATATATGGCCGATGGTCCTGTAGATGAGCTCTTCGTCATTAAATAAAGATGACAGAGCGATATATGGCCGATGTGCCTACAAATGAGCTCTTCGTCATTAAATAAAGATGACAGAGCGATATATGGCCGATGGGCCTACAAATGAGCTCTTCATCATCAAATAAAGATGACAGAGTGATATATGGCCGATGGGCCTACAAATGAGCTTCGCGTCATCAAATAAAGATGACGGGGAGATATATGGCCGATGGGCCTACAAATGAGCTTCGCGTCATCAAATAAAGATGACAGGGCGATATATGGCCGATGGGCCTACAAATGAGCTTCGCGTCATCAAATAAAGATGACAGAGCGATATATGGCCGATGGGCCTACAAATGAGCTTCGCGTCATCAAATAAAGATGACGGAGCGATATATGGCCGATGGGCCTACAAATGAGCTTCGCGTCATCAAATAAAGATGACGGAGCGATATATGGCTGAACTCTGGGCTCCTTTAGCCTTTCGGCCGGAGACCGCAAGATGTTCGCTATATCTGAATAGGGGGACGAGGCGGTGGACGCCTGTCTGAATATGAGGACGACGACGCTGATGAGTCAGTCCGAATATGAGGACGACAGCGCTGACGAACCGGTCCGAATATGGGGACGATGGCGCTGGTGAGCCGGTCCGAATATGGGGACGAGGCGATGATAAGTCATGCGTCACATGAGGGCGACGGTCACCTTCCAGGAAGGGAATGGCGAGCCTGGTCGCTAGATAAGGACTTCGGCGCTGGGGCCGGTCTAAATGTGAGGACGAGGCGATGATGAGCCGTGCGTCATATAGGGGCGACGGTCGCCATCCGGGAAGGGATGGCGAGCCCAATCGCTATAACAAGACTTCGGCGCTGGGAGCCGGTCTTGAGATAAATAATCACGTCGCGGCCGAGAGGCTGATCGCGATGTGCGGATGACAATGATGAGGAGCCAGTCCGAAATATGATGACGAGGCGATGATGGAGCCGATCGTCATATAGAGGCGATAGTCACCATCCAGGAGGGGATGGCGAGCCTGATCGCTAGCCCAACACACTCGGCGTTGATGAAGCCGGTGTTGGGATAGGGTGTGACGTCGTGGCCGAGGGGCCAATCGTGATGCGAGGTCGTCAGCACTATGAGGCTGATCCAAAAGTCCAAGCAGCGGTCGCCATTCGATGAAGGAATGACTGAGACCGGTCTTGGGGATAGACAATCACGCCGAGGCCGAGGGGCCGATCGTGATGTGCGGACGGAGATGATGAGCCGATCCGATAATATGATGACGAGGCAAGAATGAAGCCAATCGTCATATAAGGGCGATGGTCACCATCCAGGAAGGGATGACGAGCCCGATCGCTAGCTCAAGACTCTCGGCGCTGAGGAAGCCAGTCTTGAGATAGATAGTCACGCCGAGGCCGAGGGGCCGGTCGTGATGCGCGGATGGCGATGAAAAGAGCCAATCCGAAATATGATGACGGGGCAATGATGAGCCGGCCGTCATACAGAGGCGATGGTCACCATCCAGGAAGGGATGGTGAGCCCGATCGCTAGCTCAAGACTCGCGGCGCTGAGGAAGCCGGTCTTGAGATAGATGATCACACCGAGGCCGAGGGGCCGGTCATGATGCGAGGACAACGACGATGAGGAGCCGGTCCTATAATATGAGGACGAGGCACTGATGAAGTCGATCGTCATATAAAGGCGATGGTCACCATCCGGGAAGGGATGGCGAGCCCGATCGCTAGCTCAAGACTCACGGCGCTGAGGAAGCCGGTCTTGAGATAGATGATCAAGCCGAGGCCGAGGGGCCGGCCGTGATGTGAGGACAACGGCGATGAGGAGCCGGTCCTATAATATGATGACGAGGCGCTGATGAAGCCGATCGTCATATAAAGGCGATGGTCACCATCCGGGAAGGGATGGCGAGCCCGATCGCTAGCTCAAGACTCGCGGCGCTGAGGAAGCCGGTCTTGAGATAGATAATCACGCCGAGGCCGAGGGGGTCGGTCGTGATATGAGGACGACGGCGATGAGGAGCCGGTCCTATAATATGATGACGAGGCGCTGATGAAGCCGATCGTCATATAAAGGCGATGGTCACCATCCGGGAAGGGATGGCGAGCCCGATCGCTGGCTCAAGACTCGCGGCGCTGAGGAAGCCGGTCTTGAGATAGATGATCACGCCGAGGCCGAGGGGCCGGCCGTGATGTGAGGACAACGGCGATGAGGAGCCGGTCCTATAATATGATGACGAGGCGCTGATGAAGCCGATCGTCATATAAAGGCGATGGTCACCATCCGGGAAGGGATGGCGAGCCCGATCGCTGGCTCAAGACTCGCGGCGCTGAGGAAGCCGGTCTTGAGATAGATAATCACGCCGAGGCCGAGGGGGTCGGTCGTGATATGAGGACGACGACGATGAGGAGCCGGTCCTATAATATGATGAGGAGGCGCTGATGAAGCCGATCGTCATATAAAGGCGATGGTCACCATCCGGGAAGGGATGGCGAGCCCGATCGCTGGCTCAAGACTCGCGGCGCTGAGGAAGCCGGTCTTGAGATAGATGATCACGCCGAGGCCGAGGGGCCGGCCGTGATGTGAGGACAACGGCGATGAGGAGCCGGTCCTATAATATGATGATGAGGCGTTGATGAAGCCGATCGTCATATAAAGGCGATGGTCACCATCCAGGAAGGGATGGCGAGCCCGATCGCTGGCTCAAGACTCGCGGCGCTGAGGAAGCCGGTCTTGAGATAGATGATCACGCCGAGGCCGAGGGGCCGGCCGTGATGTGAGGACAACGGCGATGAGGATTCGGTCCTATAATATGATGACGAGGCGATGATGAAGCCGATCGTCATATAATGGCGATGGTCACCATCCGGGAAGGGATGGCGAGCCCGATCGCTGGCTCAAGACTCGCGGCGCTGAGGAAGCCGGTCTTGAGATAGATGATCACGCCGAGGCCGAGGGGCCGGCCGTGATGTGAGGACAACGACGATGAGGAGCCGGTCCTATAATATGATGACGAGGCGCTGATGAAGCCAATCGTCATATAAAGGCGATGGTCACCATCCGGGAAGGGATGGCGAGCCCGATCGCTCGCTCAAGACTCACGGCGCTGAGGAAGCCGGTCTTGAGATAGATGATCACGCCGAGGCCGAGGGGCCGGCCGTGATGTGAGGACAACGGCGATGAGGAGCCGGTCCTATAATATGATGACGAGGCGCTGATGAAGCCGATCGTCATATAAAGGCGATGGTCACCATCCGGGAAGGGATGGCGAGCCCGATCGCTAGCTCAAGACTCGCGGCGCTGAGGAAGCCGGCCTTGAGATAGATAATCACGCCGAGGCCGAGGGGGTCGGTCGTGATATGAGGACGACGGCAATGAGGAGCCGGTCCTATAATATGATGACGAGGCACTGATGAAGCCGATCGTCATATAAAGGCGATGGTCACCATCCGGGAAGGGATGGCGAGCCCGATCGCTAGCTCAAGACTCGCGGCGCTGAGGAAGCCGGTCTTGAGATAGATAATCACGCCGAGGCCGAGGGGGTCGGTCATGATATGAGGACGACGGCGATGAGGCGCTGCGCTTTTGCTTGAGATTCCCTCTCTCTTGTTGTGAGGACCCACCTTCAAAATTGCTTGTTCGTCTGCCTTCTTCACTATTTTCGTTGTTAGACTGGCTGCCCAAATTGATTCCTTTACCTGCTGAGACAAGCCATAATAGTATTTTCATTTACTCATAAACAATAGTATTTTCATTTAGGCATTATTAATCATTAATAATCCATGAAAATCACATTTAACTACCTTGAGTAATCTTATGAAATTAACTCACTAATTATAAGCAATATAGTCAGTCATCCTCACCTTAAATATGTCCAACAAGCCTTCCTATTGAAGCCTCATCGTTAAATCTTCGATCGGGAATGATCCGAAATGGACTTGACTGGCAGAGGGAAAAAGCCGCCCGGCTTTCGGGCCCTGCAGCATGAAAATAGCTCCTAGCAATGGCGATTTCCGGCGATTTCCGGCGATTTCCGGCGATTTCGATTCCTATCGATTTCACAACTCTTCTAAGTTAAATACCAACACTTTATATCATTTTTCTACACTTTTAAACGTGTAGAACATCCCCTAGAATCCATCATATGACTTCTATAAAATCATATAAGAAAAATATATTAAACGGAAGAACAAGAACCGGAGCTACGAGATTCTTACCGCAAGTCTTCGTTTTCTATCGGATTTCCTCTTCTCCTTGACCTTCTTTCTCTCTGAGCTCTTGCTTTGAGTATGAAGCTCTCCAAGGCATCCTCCTCGCTCTATGTTTTACGTATAGCCTCTCAAATGAGAGGATAAGGAGACTCCCCTCCCTTATCTTCTATTTTTAGAAAGGTGGGCCAATTTAGTTGGGTTGGATTCACGGGCTGC